GAACGATAAACACGGTATACGCACATCCCTACAAAAGAATATTTTATCGGCACTGGTTCTGCACGGATGCGCACCGATGCCGAATAATTTTTTTCTGAGTACCGGTGCCAGAAAGAATGTAAAAATCTTGCACCGGTGCGTACCAGTGCCAAAGTTTTGTTTTCAATCACATTTTGTTTTGTCAATTTCTGTCTATATTAACGCCACAGTATACTTCTAATATTTCGAATGTCTTTCTCACTTCATCTTTTCCTTCGCAAGAGAAGTCCGAGGCAATGCCGCACGTTTTTGAACTATTTAATGCCTTACCGGAACAGAATCTGTTAACACGTTATAACGATATAAAATCTGTGATCCGTCACAACACGGCGCACTTTTATCGATAAATTGTAGCACTTTAACCCTGAAAAACGGAACAACGGTATCGGAATAGCCTCATGGGAAGCTACATATAAATATTTTTTTTGTTGTTCTGTACGTTTAATACATTGTACATCAAAAAAACGAATAACGACATTATAGTACACCTCAAAACAGAGAAAGGAGTCAAACATATTTTACCTAGTTACTTCCAAACTAGACGCTAAGAAAGTGTAACGGAAATGTAATATTATTTATGATTGGATGTACCGTATAAAATATGTTCTGTAAGTGTTGATTTTTTTCTTTCCACGAAACTGAAAATTATCTTTATAAGCCTACCGACGAATTAGTAATGTCGTGTCTTTTCTCAAGAAAAAATAATTAAATGATTGCTAACGAGTTGGCGATGCTTCACTTTTCAGCACTTACTAAAAGGGAGAAGGTTCGTAAAACATTTTTAAAAACTTTTATTTTCGATTGGAAAAGGTCCGTATAATTAACTGATTTCGTACTCCATATAAAGCAATGCAATACTGACTATAAATTATATTGAATCACTGGATAATTGGTCATGAAATGACGTTAAAAGCTACTCAAGATATAGATAAGAGCTCAGAGATAGTACAGAGTATGATTCAACTTCCCAACAGTAGTACTATGTGCAGAAATTGAGCTATTGAAAAAAAATTTATTTCATGGACGACGCATCATCGACCAAATCTTTTGATTTTCTTAAGGGCCATATGCACTAATAAGTCATAAAAACATGTATCCGTACTCCTGAAACTCTACAACGTCTATATATTCTACGTTATTTAGAATAATTTTTAATAATCTTAACTCTTTAGTGGTGCCAGAAGAGCCACTGATAAAATAACCACACAAACAGAGTATTAGTCTCTCCAATATGCCATTGTATGGACAGATCAACCAGACATACTGCCCCTTGTGTAGGGTAATTTGATCACTTCAGTGAGCGTTGGGGGGGAACGACATGAAAAGTTCATTTTTTCGAACATGTCGTTTTTGCTATATATGCAATACTTATTGATAACGCCGCATAGTTAAGTAAATAATTGATATTATTTATAAATACAAACGCTATTTGTCTTTATTAGACATGAGTGAGATGGTCTCAGTACCGCTCCCAGGGCTAAAATTTTCTTTTGAGAAGAATCGGAACCAAAGCCGAGGCCGAAAACGACTGCTCTCCTCATATCGACGTTTGATTCATGCCTGGAGAGGGGCGGAATGACTCGGGCTTGATCCTGGTCTTACTAAAAACAGTTTCGGCCCCGAGACCGGAATGTGGTCTCCAGGCACTGTATCTAATAATGGCAAATAACGCTTGTATTTATAAATAATATCAATTATTTACTTAACTGTGCGTAGTTGTCAACAAGTATTACATATATAGCCAGAACAACATGTAAGAAAAAAAACTTTCACCTCAATGGTCAATGGAGTGACCATTGTATGGCTTACGATCTCTTATCCACCTAGTTTTTGTGAAACTTTCAAAAGGCATTGATATCAGTAGTAGACATTATCGTCGATATATATCGCACAATACGCTCCCAAGGTGTATCTTCGCTGTTGGTAGAAAAATAATTGTTAAAAAAATTCAACTTTTGTGTTTTTTTCAAACTTACCAATTTTGTAACTCATTGTTTTCGGAGATAGAGCAACAAAACAAAATATTTTTTAATCAATCGATAGCTTATGGAGTTCACTACAAGGAATGTTTCCGAAGGTTTTGAATTCCATGCTTCCTTTATTTTTTGCAATCGTACTACAAATGGTCACTCCAGTGACCAAAGAGGATAAAGGGTTAAGTATTTTTCATTATTACTGATTATTTAATGTGATGAGCAACCCCATAAAGAGAAGAAGAGCAGTCAGCCTTTAATTTTGTACATATAGAAGCAGAAGAAGAGAGAGAAAGATGCGAGCATGCATAAAGATATAGTATTATACTATCAGTTTTTATATCACACCTTTAATCCCAAGGAAAAAGAAACACGATTGCTCACTAATCTTAACCATATCGAAATACTGGACCGCTTGTAACTAACCATTGCAATTGCTAACCTCTCATTAGGCGTGCTTTACAAGCTTGTACAAATACAAAACGAATTTGACAAGTTCTCAATGGAACAACTAGGTGGTGAAGAAGAAGGCGTACAATTAGTGAAAATGCTAAAGCGTGGATGTGCGTAACTCCTTGGTCTTGCGAAACGAAAAAGAAAGCTATAGTTATCGGTTAATGCGTTGTCGATGAACAAAAAAAAGGACATCGGTTTCTGCAATAGTGTTACCAGTTTTATTATGTACACTCGACTATTGTTTCTACGATTCAAATTTAAGCTAAGTCGTGTGAATACTTTGGTATAACGACGTTGTTGAATAGATAGGAACAAATGATTGGATCATTTGGTGACTAGGAGATCGATTTGGAGCAGATATCAAAATGTTCCGAATCTGCGTAAAATGCTCAAATTATTCAATATAATACCAGACAAGTTTACAAACAAGAACCCAAATGTACATTCTAAACAAGAATAATGTGAGTTTTATCTGCGCATCTTGGCAAAGAATCGTCTGATCTATAATCATTATACGTCACATAATTTTAACTAGTTTAGTTTTATTCGACTTACCAACCGAGTGTATTTGGTGGAATTTTTCAGTCACAATGTTTCTAAACTAAGTTATGTATTTTTTCCGGAAAGAACCTTGAGTTTTAAATGTCACGGTTGATTGTAAGTATGTCGTTTAGTAACCTTCAGTAAACCATTGACGCAATAAATTCATACCATAAACACGAAAGAGTCTTGGTTACATTGTGGTAAAAGAATGGAATGTTCATCATCTCCAGTGCCATGACGAAAATAGAAAGCAGATGGGGTGCGAGAATGCTAAAAAAGTTTGGGAGAAATATAGTATAATATCGAAGAAAGAACATTAGAAATGATAAATAATTATTTCTTCTTTTTCTTTCTGTTTTCGTTTGTATACGTACGAAATATGGATGCCTTCTTTTCGCTTATATATGTGAGAACGACCGGTTAGGTCATCTGTGGAGTTAATTGAAAGAATCAACGGAGGAATGTCTTCCACTCAGTTATTTCGAATTTTCAAAGTCTACATGCGGCTTTTTTTTAATCGGGTATGTAGGAAAAAAATTCAGGAAACGTACAAAATCGAAAAGCAGGAGGGATGTACTCTTATAACCGTCCTATCGCCACGGGAATGCATCTCTTTTTCGATGAGGTTTTTTTATCGATTGAAACGGTGTCCAAACCGTGTAAACGATTAAATCACAGAACCGCGTTCAGTCGATGCCTGGGGCAATTTTTTGCCGTTTAATCGATATATGAAACGCGTTTCAAACATCGATTGAACACGTTTCTGTTATTTCCTCCTTTAAACACGTCTGGACACCGTTTCAATCGATAAAAAAACTCATGGGTTTAGGTTAGGAGTTATTAATATTTTACAAAAAGGAATAAAACATTTCACGAACCGTTTAGCGAGAGAGGGTTAACTGTTGGATCAACATTTTGCGCGAGCTATCACAATTTAAGGTCACTAACTATTATTGTTGATGAATATAAGGTTGTTGATGAATATCAATACTTTTGTCCGATAGTGTATGAACGGGTAATCGTGTTGACCAGAACAAAAGCTAAAATTTTACATCTGATGTTTCTACTGTGAATGAATCTTGAGTTTATTTCATTATTGTGCTTGTATCGTTATCTGTTATTTTATCTTATAAACATGGAAGCAATTTTATTTAGTTCATTATGATTCGTGCTCCGTCATCTACAATTCCTGTCATGCAATTTTCCAGCACATTTCTGAACTGGATAGTTTGGCTAAAATGGAAACAAGGTTTCTACTACTGTGTTATGATAACGATTCTATTATTGACTGTAATGCAAAGTGAAATTCTTTCGACGATCAAACAATCAGCGTCATTTCGATTCAACAAAACGTTATCTGGATTAAACAAAACGTTAAACAAGACGTCATCTTGTGAATATAAAGTCCACCAAAACTCTTGCATCATCATCTTTCGCCATCAAGGCGCTCGACTCGGGAATCGTCTGTTCATGTTCGCCAGTTCGTACGGTCTCGCCCGATACCATTCGTGTAAATTACACATCAGTCAGCCGATAATGCAAGAACTTGGCGCCATTTTTCAGATTCATCCATGTAATTTGATCAACGCGACCGAGATCACTAACTTAACTGGTATCATCGTGCGGAAAAATCACTGTTCTTTTTTCCCTGAACTTATGCAACCAAACGCTGTTAGATACTTTGAGCTGATGGACTCCTGGCAGTCGTATCGTTTTTTCGACAACTATACCGATGAGATTCGAGAACAGCTGACATTTAAAATGAATGTACTCCGCAGAGTGCATTACTTCTTCCGGTGTCTGGCACAAACACTTAGTCGAAACTGCAGCACGATTTTTTCACAGCCTTCTCAGATCAACATCACCCAAGAGAAACTGAGACAAGAAATTGCGTCTACCGGTTTCAAATGGGTAGGCATTCACATTCGGCGCGGAGATTTTTTGGGTCTTAGGAGAAATGTTTCTTCGCCGGCTTTCGTGATCAGCGCTATGGGCCATTTTATTCACAAATATGGCGTTAATCGCACGATATTTCTTGTGACAGGCGATGAGAAAGCGTATTGTACGAGTACATACGGCAATCTCACGAACGTTTTTATCTCGCCACATTGGTTCGCACCTGAAGAAGATCTAGCTCTAATGTCTACATGTTCAGATACAATTGTTACCGTGGGCACGTTTGGATGGTGGGGTGGATTTTTATCAAGAGGAGAGGTGTTGCATGACCGACGATCGCCGACTGATCATCGACCGGCGGATGTAGATTGTAAAGGTGAGGAGTTTTTTCCCAAATGGTTTTCATTTTTAAATAAAACCGTTTGATCAATACTGAAGATTGTCTTTAAAACTAAATTTTTTAAAATTCTAACATATCAAAATTTGATGATTTTTTTCTAGAGAAGCGGTATTTGAGATTTTTACATATTCGGAATCAGCGCGATGAGTTACGTTGTACGGCGCAAAGATCTCGTCGGGGTACACGCA